GGATGAACATCTCATTTTAAAATATAAAAAATCTAAAATATAATTAGAATAATTATCGAGTTCCAACAAAATAAATAATTATTATCTTTATAAAAAATTATATTATTAAACCAAATATAACTTCGTTATTGTACATATATTAAAATATAAAAAAATTGACTGAAAAAATTACACAAAAAATGAGGAATTTCAAATAGTTAATTTGATTCTAATATCGATATATTTTTGTCAAATCTTTATGTATATTCAAACATATATTTTATTTAAAAATAAAAGCATCATCGCTTTCTCAAAATCACATAAAGCCATATTATAACATCGACTGAGATAAAAAATAAAATAAAATATTAAAATCACGATGTATCTCGCTACATTGCACGAGTACGAATCTAGTCTGTTTTAACATAGTTGAAGGTTCTTGTAAATGATGGTCCCTTTTTGTTGTATCTCATGTTCGTATTTCTCAATAAATTTTCACGTTTTGCGATAACGTTGATTAAAATCCGAAACCGACCCTTTCTTTCATTCGCTAAATTTATGCATCAACTATGATTTTGATCGCGTTTAAGTCATCAAACATGAAGTGACCATCGCAATAGAAACGCGAGAAAGCAATCAATCGAGGGATTTGGCTTCAGCGTTCTGTTCACCAGGTGAATATCTTCTCCTCTCTATTCGTTTATTTCCAGATTCGGTCATCATCTGATCACATTCATATTAGAAACGTTTTACAAATCAGGTATTGATTCAGCAGTGTGTGTTTTCTTTTATAATGTTTGTTGATAGTTAAATTTAACATCTCTAACAATGATTTCAACCTACGTTTTCGTCGTCTTGAAGATGTTTAATCATTTTTGTTTCTTCCGAATTTGTTAGGAATGGTAGCTTAATTTTGTTGATTGTTGACGAACGTTGAAAGGCCTCTGGTTATTAATGGTGTCATTTTGCGGGAAAATACGAGAAGTAATATTGTACGTAGAAAAGGGGCCATAATAACCAGAAGAGCATTTAAACCAAAGCAATACCATTCGGATATTGTTAGGCATTTCGGCAGAGAATATAATGTAGTCATGGCTTATGAGGAAAGGAATGGTGATGAACGATGTGATTCCTCTCTGTTCTTCTTCTCCTCTGTATTTTTCTGCCACTATAGATGCTTACTTGATTATTGGAAAGACTGATTTGCAACATAATAGCACAGTATCAAATAGACCCATTCCTAGCTAGTATCACCTGAATTATCTCCTAGGCATTATAGACAGAAGCTTTATCAAGACTCATAAAATATTTTATTACATCAAAAGTGGGTCTAACTAATGCAGCAGATTAAACCCACTAGGTTACACTCGGGTGAAAAAGGATTGCACACTGAAAACACTGTAATTTTATCAATACAACAGAAAAGTGACAACATACATGTGCCACTGTTTATTCACTTACTAATAGTAACCAGCGCCAGAGGCTGCCAGATTGGTAGATGTGCATCGATGTTGCTAGCTTAATATGGGTTCAAGAAGACCAGTTTGGTCATGGCAACAAAGGAAAGCAATGTATTTTTCCATGGAGCGATGGCACTCAGGGCAACTCATGCCTTCTGGGATTCTACCTGCTGTGATGGGAAACTCGAAGCGGCAGCAATTATTAGCTGCACCGTGAAGCTTGTCATGGTGGTCTGTAAATGCCGCATCGAACCCCCTTGTGGGGATGTTATCCTTCCAAAGGTCAAAGTCAGCAGGGGTTTGCAACATGGTGGATCCATGTCCATTGGTCAGAATCTGTGATCCTCTACAAAACAAAGCCCATGATCCATCCTTGTCATAGCTCAGTAGTTTCTTGATCTGTAGCATTATGAGGTCTTGATCATCAGCCCTCCTGAGTTGGATCTTAGAGAACAACATGCTCTCTATCCGTGTCCAGAAGAACCAGATCAGGGTGGTATCTTGCCAGCAGTAACTAAGCTTCTCCTGGTTGATGGTGGCTATTGCCCTACGGACATTTTCTTTTTTCTTGCTTTTCCCAACATAAGCCATCTCTAATGGGATGCGTGCAGCAGTTGCCATGGCCCGAGCCGTGTTCGTGAATTTGCGAATCCACTCAATGTCATCCCCTCCATACAAGCAGATGTATTTGTCGTCTCTTATCTAAAACATGAAGCACACACACTCAATTCAGGGGTCTGTAGCATTATGGTAGAACACATATATAGTCTGTATCATGGTGATGCGGATAGTAGTCATATGAAGAGAAGGTAAATGGTGAACTTACCCAGTTCAGTATGGTTGGGTCCATTCCACTGACTAGCAACTCTAGCCTCCAAGTTTCTTCCCTCCACAATGCTTCCTCTCTGGCGCTGGTGAAAGAGAAGGCATTGCTTCCCCAAATCCACATCATGTGGATGGCATTAGGGCTCAACTCCCTTCCCTGTGGATCCAGCACCACAAGGATGGGCTTGCTCCTAAAGTGCCACCTATCTCCAATGGATCTTTTCACCGCCCTGTCGATGATGGAAGGGTGGTACACTGAGTACCATGGCATACTGTTCCTCATCTCCTCGAATTTTCTGTCCATTGCTTCGGTGTACTCTACAGATGGGTCCACAATAGGCATCCACACCACCTCATACAAAGCATCCATCCTAGTCCCTTGAATGCGGGACTCGCTGTAAATTTGCTCTAGAATCGAAAGCTCATCGGGGGACATGTCTAGCCCTGATATCAGCAACAATACATTCCTTTTCCTCAGAACCTCTAGCTTGACCTATTGAAGTAAGTTTAGCCGGATGTTAATTAAAAATTCCAATTGAAGACAATATATGTAAATATGAATTGTTGCTCAAACCCTTTGCTTAGTGGAGCCATCAAAAAGTGGCAATATGTCATCCCTTGGACTAATTAAGATCTTGAGGATTTTCATGTTGTCGATATGGATTGTATCGAATAACTGATTGAATGAGTTCCTGAAATCCATCTCCTTCCTGTCTCCTACATCAATCAAACAGGTAGACAGCCATCTCTATTAATTTATAATCACAGAAGTATGGTTTAATTGTTTGTATAAAGAGTCAATAACATACCTACAACACGATGACAATTTTCCAGTTGTTTCTTCAGAAACTCAAGTATGTGGTTGATCTTCAGGATTAAGGTGGATAGTTCCCATGACTGCAACTCTGTGGATGATATCCCGTACCTGAAGTCATTAAACCTTGCTAATCACCATCTTTTTTAGCCAAAATAGACTCTTTTTTTCGTATTAGTTGAATTTAGACGGTATTAAAGTTCTATTTACTCGTGTCCCATGCTGGTGAGGCTTGTAATCTGTGCAGCACAAGCGATGATCCCTCTGATGTTCCAGTAAACAGCAGTAGGAATGGTATTCATTGCTGAGGCCATGGCTGGTACATCAGAACTAATGTACATAGATGGGAGATCCTTGAAATGGATGATGCACTGGGTTAGTTCGAGGACAGAGCGGATGAGTTTGTTGAGGATGTCGAACCGAGGTTTCAATGGGGCTGAATGTTCCATGATCATTGGTACTTGCCTAAGAATTGCCATTGATCTTGCGAGTTGGTTTGATGAGTAAATTTGAGCTAGAAGCCAAAATTCCCCATAGTTCAGAGCAAAAGCTGAGAGGGTCAATACCAACTTCGCGTCCCAGTGGAAGTTCCCCACAGTGTGAAATAGTGCAAGGGCTGTTGTGTGTCCATCCCCACCACTCAAGCACTTGAACGACATCTAAAATATTTATCAAACAAGATCTTCTTATAATCACATTTCGATCTGTAAAGAAGATGAGAATATTAATATAGGCATAGTTTTGAGATAGAACCTCGCAAGCAAGTTTGTCAATTATATGTGACAATGAATTAAGCATCATAACGGCATTGGTTTGATGGGGTTTGTTCTCCAGTTTGGTAACATCTGTATGTTCAACCTACAGAGAATACAAGAACCACATATCATTAACACAGCAATAGAAGTCTTCTTAAGTGGTCCACTAGCCCTTAATGCCCTTATGTAAGTTAACAGTAAAGCGTAGTTAAAAAGTGGACTTGATGCATTAAAAAAATGATAATACCATTGAAGTTGAATCAGCATGGATGGTGGCATATTTGAGGATATCCTCCACAATATGGAGAAGAGGTTTGACATCAACATCGGTGCCATCAGGGAGATGGGTATCAAACACTTGCTTCATGATCACATTGTCATCCGATGCACTGAAGATGGAGTTTCTGTCACCTCTGTTTAGCTGCTGCACCGTTTGATTGTGTACAGGACTGGTCATCTGATGGTGCATCGGGGTATGCAACGGGTTCATCATAGAATTCAGCATCGGGTTGTTTTTGGGACCCATCAGCTGCTGCATTGGGTTACCTGCCATACCCAGCTGCTGCATTGGGTTACCTGCCATACCCAGCTGCTGCTGCATTGGGTTACCTGTCATGCCCAGCTGCTGCTGCATTGGGTTACCTGCCAAGCCCAGCAGCTGCTGAGACACTGGGTTAGTCATAGGACCCATAAGGTGCTGCTGTTGGTGTGGCAGTTGCTGCATTGGATTTATGGCTGAATTGGTCCCTGTTAAAGGATTGGTGCTTGTTAAGGGGTTGGTGCCTGTTAAGAGCCTTTTATCGGGGTTAGATGATGATAAGGCCTTGTTGTTGGTGTAATTGGCCAGTGATTGGTCCATTTTTGATGCAAGAAGGGTGAAGCTTTTGGATTATGAATAAACTAGTTTGGTTGTGCTCTTCCTGATGGGTCACCTGGTTGCCTATAAATACATATTACAAACAGAATAAAGTGGTTTTCCAGCTAGCTGAATCAACTTCCTTGCTTCCATTGGAGTCAAGAAAACTTGATGTTAATTTGAAGATTTGTCTCTTTTGTGGTCTCTACTCTATTTGTTAACAGAACCCCCATCATCTTTTCACTTTCATCATTTGGAGTCCAAGAATCGACTGTAATGGCGTGTTTCATGCAGCTCTTTGGTTGTTGTATCTTGTGCATATGCATATGTACTCTTTTAGAAAGGTGTCACCCTGCCTTAGTTTCATTGTGTAACGTAATGCAGGTATATAGGTTGTAGTTGAAGTTTTGATTTAATATTCTATTAGTAGTAACTAACTTTCTATGAATCTACAGGATTGGAAACTGAATGCAAAGCTACATAGATCTGAAAGCAAGCAAGCAACCGACCAATGTCTACATAAGATTCCTTGCTAACTCTTTTTATTTTGGAATATATTTATTCTTAACTATAGAAACGGTAAAGCAAGCAGGCAAGCACAGGGAAAAGGAAAAGTGGCTTCTTTTTCTAGATTGCTTGCCGTTCATTAATTAAGATTTTGATGCTTTGACCCAAAAAGAACTTCAAAAGCACACATATTTCTTCGTATTTGCTTTGTTGTTCATATTTTAATGAGTTGATTAAGAATAGTCCTATAGGAAGAATGCACTTGCAGATGGTATAAGGTACTTGTATATGCATTCTAATCCCCTTTTTTACTCCCCCAAATCAATTATAATAAGGTTATACCCATGAAATTAAAATCAAACGTGGATTGGAATATCGGATATGATCATATTCATATGTGTTATTGTTTGTATGGAATGCGGATACAAACTGTACCCATTTTTAGAGTAAAATACATTTGTGGACTGTCGTCCTTGAGGTTTGTTATAAAATATGGATATCATTCTTGTGGTTCATTTCTTACAATGGCGGTCCCTATGTTATGTAGAAATAGATTGATAGGTTGGGTTTTAGTTGTAAATCTATGATTTGGTCATTTCCGGCAACCCATTGTGTGGGTCTTTGCTTTTTACTCTTCCAATGTGTTTTTCCGATCAAATACACAGTGAGGGACTAAATCCATAAGAATTTGCAAACCGTAGAGGACCGTCAATGTAATAAATGGACCAGAGACGGACGATACAGGGACCACAAATGTAGTTTACTCCTATTTTTTATTGTATTTGTATATTCAACAGTGCATTCATTGTATTTGTACATTCAACACTGCATTTAGTTGTTATATTTGGTAAGAACTAGTAACGATCAAAGAATCAATATTATTAAATAACAAAACATAATGTGTAATGAACTATTGTTTGATTATCAAAAAGTTTTATTCTATTTAATAATAATCGAATATAAACGATTATTTTTAATCATTGGATATTATTAATAATGTATTAACATATTATTATTTTTAATTAATCTAGATATCGAACCAGCTATACTAGCCGACTAATCCCAGTACGACCACGTGCTTTGAAGGTAGCCTGAAATCACCGCATTTTGACATAAGGAGATTTTTATTCCTACTTGGATTCAAACCTAGATCTCCGGACACTTTTGACATTTAGAGCTCAAGCTCAAATCAAAATAGATATACATATTATTAGTCACATATTAATATTGACAAGCAAATAGATATACATATCACTTTGGTTAGATTCAAATTCACACAAGTATACAGATTTCTCATACTCATTGCAGCCCTAGTTTGCCAGTTTTTGGTAATAGATGGGTTCGGACATTTATCTTCCATGGCAACATGTATCACCAAATTATATCCTCTTTCAATTGATAGGATTAATGGTGATTTCTTATCATCATTTTTGTCCACGTACTTTTGAACTTCAGAATGGCCAAGAACCCTAACTGAAAATCTGTATACTGATATTTATATATTATAAAAGTGTAAAATCCTATTTTAAAGCTTCCAGTAACCCGTTAAACTTCTTAATAAATTTGGATTTTACACTTTATAGTTTTCCCAGCCAGCCCACTTGAGTCAAGACCATCATGAATCATGATTTCAGACTTCTTCCCACTGCCAACTTAAAACAAACCAAACCCGACCTGCCTCGAGCCAGGTTAGGCTGGTGCTTGTGCCTTTTTATTTTGTGGAAGTGCCATATGTATGGCCCATATCATCGCTAGAAGTCTGGAACAAGATAACATCTTATTGACCGACATCAACTCTAATTAACGTCAAAGGAATGATTCAAAAATGAAAAAGAAGAAGCGGCTCCTCTGCAACCTTCACCCTACTTGCCCTCTCATTCAAGTTCAAAAGAAGCTACGCTTCGGACGTTCCTCAGCAATGTTAACCCTAATTTCCCTCCCATCCAAACTCTGCATCACATAAAGAAATCACCAAAAATTCCAATAAGAATAACTTATATAAACATTCACATGGGGTTGACAGTAGTAGTAGTTTGCATGTACCTGTCCATCAAGAGCAGCAATGGCATCATTCATTTCTGTCTCACTTGCCATTGTTACAAAACCAAACCCACGTGAACGTCCAGTTTCACGATCATAGATGACCCTTGCATCCACCACTTTTCCGTGTTCATTGAACACCTGCTCCAGGCGATCATTATCCACTTGCCATGCCAGGTTACCCACGTATATCTTGAAGGAAGTCCCTACTACTCGTCTTTCTGGTTGTGAACCTCTTGGTGCAGCTTTATTTACAGTAAGAAGCCTTCCACTTAAATCCTGTTTAAAACATTCTTCACATTATGTTTTATCTACAGATAACATTATCCCAACAGATAAACGTAGTTATACCCCATCAACCATACCATTTCTAACTAAGCATTTGATGGTGAACCAAATAGTTAACACTGGAATCACATACACACATACAATGGAGGATATGGAGCCTGATTTGATTTGGATGTCCGTCCACAAATTGGGTTAATTTAGGCAGTTATTTCCTGTTTATCGTCAGTTATTTAGAAAGTCCACCTTTTTTCTTCTTCTTAATTATTTGTATTTTGAATCAGAACAACGATTACATGCAACAAAAACCTAACGCCACCTTAACCGTCATGCTGAAAGGTAAATATAGTTGTTCTCTTTATGTTTTTGCTACAACTGAGATTGTGTGTGTGAGAGAATATGTGGAACACAATTACATTACTCTCTAAAGTAGCCTTCGAGTGAGAAGAAATGGTCCAAGTTTAGCCGATATGGACTCCAACACGCTGCAGATTGTCCAGGGTGTCAAGAGGGTGCTAGATGGGCACAGTCCGAGTCCCAGAGTGACAGATATACCATGTGGGAATATATGGAACTCGTTTGATTTCGGACATATATCATAGAGAAATGGTTAAGTCTAGTCAATGTTGGACCCCAGGTGGTTACGGATTGCGCACAGTAAACAATAGGAAGAAAGTAATTAAGAGCAAGAAAAAGAGAAACTTTACATGGCCGTTGAACTTGTCCACAGCTTTCTCAGCTTCTTCCACTGTGCTCATCGTCACAAACCCAAACCCTCTACTCTGTTCAGTATCCCTATTGTATATCACCTACCAAAAACACATGAAATCCACCACGGTAAACCCATATACACAATCAAGAAAATCATGAAAACTGAGAAAAGAAAGTCAATCTTAATAATACCTCAGCAATCTCTACAACTCCAGCAGAACTGAAGAGGTTAGCCAAATTCTCACTGTCATAATCATAAGGTAAATTACCCACAAAAATCTTAGCATCCTCAGGTGGCTCTGAATACGATTCCTCCTCCTCTACTTCTTCTTCTTCTCCTCCTCCTTCCACTTCGTTAATGGCATCTACAGCTTCATCTTCCTCCTCCACTGGTTCAGTTTCTTGTGTCACTTGTTGTGACCAATCTGAGGTCTGAGCAACAAATTGGAGTAATTTGGGTGGTGAAACCTTGGATTTTTGAGAAACCCATGATGAAAATTGAGAGAAATTTAGGGTTTTGAAGGGTTTAGAAGGTAGGGGAAAGATTGTGGTGGATATGGTAGTGCATTTAGGGCTTAGTAATTGGAATGGCAGAATTGTTGTAGCACAAGTCATAACCAGAAGGTGGGAGGAGATGGAGATGGAGATGGAGATGGAGAAAGATAAGAAGTGGGAGATGCAAGACGAGAAGACAAGGTGGATTTTTATTTTGGGTAAGGGGAGTTTTTGTGAAGTGTCAAATCTTATATAACAAATCCACCACATTTGGTCCCTCAACTTCTATTTATTCGTCTTAAAACCCATGAGGCTACATCTTTTTTGCAAACTTGGTAAACATCAAAGCTGAAATCCAACCGGAGGTCTTTGGGTTAATAGTACTAAATAAGACTCTATAATCCTTTAAGTTGTGTGCTTTAGTTTTTTTAAGAAATGAGTATAAGACGTGCTTATAAGAAAAAAAAAACATCTAAATGAAGCCACACATGAGTTGAATGGATTGGAATTATAACACATTCAACTTCTTTTGACCTAAACAACTGTAACATATTTTAAACTCAAATGTTTTATGGAATTATATGTAAAAAGAGCGGTATAACATTTATTACCGGTAAGGATGAACCGATTTTTTTTTTCAAACGAGTGCACTATTTGATTATAAAAAACAAATATAAGAGAAAAAAATTCAAACGGTGACATCAGTTGACTAAGAAAATGACACTAACAGAATTCGAACTCGCATATGGAACCAACGCCTTGAAACCAACCAAGTCTCAAAACCATGGCCCAAACAAAACGTCGGTCCAGTAAGGGCCCAAAAGAATTGATATATTCCATTATTAGATGCCCACGTCTTGAAACCACTAGGTCAAGGAGTTCTAATTCAAAATAGTCCTATATAAATTTCTCTCTTATGTTATCTTAAGGGGCTGTTTGGCAGTTGCTGAATGGTTTGGTGCAGAATGGTTAAGTGGTCAGAATGGTTAAAAGGACCAGAATGGTTAAGTACTGAATGAAATAATGTTGTTAGGTAATTGTTCTCTGAATGACAGTAAATTACCATTTTAACCTTCATTCATATTAGGGATGCCACTTCAACCTTAAACACTTGTATGACCTAAATTAACAACAAATAGAGCATAAGACTCAAAACTCAATTTCTGATATTTACACAATTCTTCAAATCGAATGTCTGATAAAGATTCTAGAACAGATTCTGTGAGCGATTTATCACAGTGAATGAAGAACAAAATTGATTACTAGAATAGATTCTGTGAGCGATTTATCACAGTGAATGAAGAACAAAATCGATTACWMSAACAGATTCTGTGAGCRATTTATCACAGTGAATGAARAACAAAATCRATTACACCCACATACCATCGATTCTTGAGCGATGAAGCTTGAATCAAACACAGATGAGCGACTTAGAAAGAGCCTTGTTGAGCGATGAAGACAAAATCGTACAGGGTGTTGAGCGATTTAGAAAGAAATCGCCTGTGCCTTTGTCCAATCGACTGGAAGAGAGGGGTTGGGAAGAAGGCGACACAGCAGCAACTCGGGAGAGGCAGCAACTCATGGGAGGAGGCGAGATCGACTGGAAGGAGGAAGGAGGGTGGGAGGCATGGGAGGAGACGAGATCGATTGGAAGGAGGAAGGAGGCGTGGGAGCAGCGGGCTGTTGAGGAGAGGGCAAAAATGGAAGAAGACCCCTCTGAATCGTTGAGGGGAGCCCTAGCCCCTAAATGGTTAAGAGCCTTTTGTAACCATTAAGAGATTCTTTTTTTGTTGCCAAACAACCCTTGCCTCTTACTGATTAAGAGGTTGGCTCTTAATGTCACCATTAAGAGCCAAACAAACAGCCCCTAAGTGTAATTATGTTATACACCAGCCTCAGTCTTGGTCATATATAACATAAATACTAGGTTGGCTCTTAATGTCACCATTAAGGGAACTCTACCTTTAGATGCATATTATGATAAGATATAACATAAATACTAGGTTACATAAATGAATTTGAGATTAAAAATGATGAAGTATGAAATGCACTTTTCATCTTTCTTCTCACAAGATATTTCGTGTTCACCTACCAAAACAAATTCCACTCCTTGTGTAGTTGTGTGATGTGATACTTGAATTGTTTGGGAAAGAAAAAGATAAAAAGTACATCTTCTTTCTTTTTTAGGTGAAACAATTATACAGAAAATAACAAGTTATGAATGAAGATCCTTATTTGGATCACTCTCAAAAGAAACCCTACTACATAGCTCGCTAACAGAACAACTAGAAATGGCCATCTTCCTTCCATCCTACCCACTTCTTCCTTGATATTTGATTGACGATGATTTCAATGGTGTAGGAGTGACCTGTATGAACATATAGTTACCAGCAAACAGATCTCCCAAATGTGACTGACTTTCCTTAAGTCGCCTCAAAACCTTGGATAACGACGCCATAACCACTCGAGCTTTTCGCCTCATGAACTTCCTCAAGCTCGGGATCTTCATCTTCAGTTTCTTCCTGATGTGCACCTTCTTCAACCTCAACGACCATCGGAATCGGATTCTCGCCTTTATCTGATTGATCTCCCTCTCGATTTCCTTCTCGTAATCCTTTTCCTTTTCCTTTTCGTTGTCATCACCACCGCCTTCGTTTCTCAGCCTCTGGTAGGAAATTCCGGTGCAGGCCATGTTGATTCCTTTTCCTTCCGATGGATTTGTTAGTGGTGATAACATATAGAGAGTGAGAGAAGGAATACGTGTTGGCTCCATCCACGTCTTTGTTGATGTGGATGGTGGGGCTGGGTGGTTTATGAAGCTGTCAGCCGTTGGTGAGCACAGCATTCAATGCTGCAATGGTGGAAGATGAGCAAAACACCAAGACTGAATTACAAATATTGTCCTATATCAAAATTATGAATTCATACCTCTTGTTTTATGTTCATAATTTATTGGAGTCGGTATCCAAAATTCTCCAAAAAAAAAATATTATAAAATATTAAAAGAATACTCGTGCAATGCAACAACACACATCTCGATTTTAATGTTATATTTTATTATTTATCGTCGTCGATGTTATAATACGATTTTATGTGTTTTTAAGAAAACAATAATTATTTTATTTTGAATAAAATATAAATTTGAAGAAAAATATATATCAATGCTAATATCAAATCAACTATTTAAAAGTTCTCATTTCTTATGTAATTTTTTTAATTTATTTTTTTATTATAATTAAATTTAAGTTTAATAACGAAATAATTTATTTTTGTTTTAATAATATATCATTTTATAAAGATAATAATTAAGTATTCTCTTAGAATTCAATGATTATCCTAATATATTTTAGATTTTTTATATTTAAAATGAGATGTTTATTCTTTGAGTATGTTTATCTACAGTTAGTTACACGAATTCAGATATGAAACTTTAATAAGTTGTAGTTACACACAATCTATTTGCATTCTTGAGTTTTAAGTAATATGCATTAATAAACAACATTTTACGTATAAAAAATGATTTTTAAGAGTTTTTTTTATCAAATGTTTTATAATATAATATAGATATCAAATATAAAAATATTTAAAATAAAATCACAATTCAATTTTATATAGTTTTTTTATTTTAAAATTTTACATTATTAAAATAATTTTATATGTTTTTTTTTTAAATTTAATTTCAAGTTTTCTTATTGGTGGAATTAAAATAAGTTAAGTAACTTACAAATTTCATCCTTTTGGTTATTGAAAATTATGGATTTGGTCCTCCAAATGAAATAATTACATGTATAATCATCATGATTTCTTTTTTTATTATAGATTGAGTCCCTTGTCCTAACTCTATAATAACTGTTGTTCCGTTAAGTCAAGGGTAATATCATCTTTTTATAATTTTTTTTTAGAATCACACTTTTTATATTTAGTATTATATATATACATCGTCCCTGTTATCCAACGTCCGATCTCTAAGTGTTGCAACCGGGTTTCCGTTCATCATATACTTTGGAAAACGTTTTTCACTTGAACAAGATGTTTGAAGATCAACCCTATAGTTTAGACACAGATAATACTAGGATTAAGAGAGCCATAGAAATCATGCATATAGGAGTTTGGTCCGTGTAGTTATATCAAATTTTGAGAAAGTCTCTAAAGCAAGTGATCCGATCCATAATAAAAATAAAATTGTCAGTACCCAGTCCATGAAAAAAAATCAGAGGGACCCAATCAGTATCTATATATACCTTAAGGACTATATTTGTAATTTACTCAAACACTAATAATGTTATTTTTAGTTCCTCCCCGGAAGTAAGTTTGTTTTGATTCAGGCCCCAAAATCTAATTAAAGCACGGCAAAATATTAAGATGGTCTTTCATTTTCTTTCTGCAAGTTCGCTTGGGATGTGTTATACTCGCATTTATAACTCATGTTTTAGGCAATATATATATATATATATATATATATATATATATATAAAGAGAGAGAGGGGGGAGGTTGGATTCACGTGAAATCATACTGTTTTCGTTAGATCAATTTTTTACATTTGAAACTTTATAACAAAACACGGTGAAAGTAAAAAAAAGGCGAATCTTAACAGCAAAAACACTATGAAGGTCACCTTCTTCGTAATGTTTTGTTGTGAAGTTCAAGTGTAAAAAAGTTGTATCACGGATCTCACGAAAACATGTTGATCTCACGTAATCCCAAGTATATATATATATATATATATATATATATCACTTTTCTAAACAACATATTCTTTAAAAATATTAATATGTAATAAATATATTTAGTGAAACAACAATTAACATTTCACATTTTATCTTTACTTGGACTCGTCCATTATGTTGAAATCACGTTCCTAAGCTGTTAACATGGAACGAAAAAGGGTTTTACGCTTACTTTGGTACGCTCTCATCAATTCAATTACCTTACCGAACATAAAAAAAAAACCAAGAATTTTACTCAGTAAAAGGGAAACAAAGATCAAGAATCTTATCTAGTAAATGTAAGTGATGACTCTTACTCAGTAAAAATTTACCAGGTTATAAACACTTACTATTAATCCATTTGGATTGACCAGACAATGTTACCCCATAAGTTACGTGAGTGGTGGTTCTTATTGATAAGCGTTTATCCAGTAAATGCTTACCCGTACGTCTCGTTAGACAAGGTTTTATCAAGAGAAAAGAAAACTCCTTTCAAAACTCAATATGTATGGACTATAAAGATTGTCGTATTTATTGGGAAAAAATTGATTACCGGCAACTCCAACCGACCCTACACGGCAAAATAGAACATGTCTCTAAAAGTACCAATGAGGGGATATTTTTAGCTCACTCGACGGCTAGTAAAGGTGAGAGGCGTGATTGAACCCATAACCTATTTTGTATTTGGACGAAATCGTCATGCCCAAGACAAGATTGTCGTATTTATATTAAACAAAACAAGAATTAGGCATCAAAAGTGTAAGAGTTTGTTCCACATGGATAGAAAGGAGAGCGAGGGCTTCATGAGACAACTTGTCTAATTCTATTATGTCCAGTTTTAGTCGTACCAAACATCAGACAAACACTTGTTTTGTACGATCCCATCCGTCCAGTCTAGTCCGATCATGTCCTGTCCGGTCAATTGTATGTACCAAACGCTACCTTAAAATAACATTTTGCATTGCAACAGAAAAATGCCAAATATATCCCACATTGGAAGAAGGAATGTCTTGCATTCCAAAAGAAACATCATTTTGAATATACATTAATATGTACATTCTACAAACTGAAGATACTCTTTTCATTTACAAATCCAAAATGCCAAAAATTAAAGGATTACATAAATAAAAGAACATCACACACATTCAACTCGTAACAATTTCAGCCAAAGTACATTGGATAAAAGAAACCAACCTTAGTAGAGCTTTATTCTAGTTTCGATTTTACTCCGACAGATCGGGCACAACTTAAGCGTTTGTCCACACTCGTAACACGTCTGCAAAATAGCATACAATATTATTATAGAAGTCATACGACACAAATGGAGATTCAACGGAGTTGATGAACATTAAAAAAGCATACCTGATGTCCACAGCCAAAAGCCATATCCTTTGGGTTAGTAAGGCAAATGGGGCATAGCTGTAAGGTACACAGAACCAATTAACATACTGACGAAATGTATGCAAGTAACAACCAAACATACATCATAAATATTCTAAAGTAAACTGTACATATGAAAATCAGAAAGAACCAAATTCCGAACAATATGTTGAATAAGTTGTGGAAATACCTGATTTTCGTAGGTAGAATTTGGAACGGGTGGGGCTGTGCGCTCTAGATTAGTTGGAGCATAATAAGGAGTAGCAGTAACGGGACTGCTTTGGTCAAAATAAGATTGCGGGTCCTGAAAACCAGCTGAATGTGATGGTTTTGAGCTACTAAAAGAAGGTGCAATATGAACCGGGGGAGGCAGGGCGACCCTCCGGGGAGAAATTCCTTTGCGACTACTGTTAATTCAAAACCAAAAGATATGAATAAAAAACCAATCAAGGCCAGGTTGAGCTTATGTGACCATAAATGAAATATATAGCCAGTCCATTACCCGAGTATACTCAGTTCAATTGTTGCTTTATATTGAATAGGAATTTCCATCAATGCTGCAAGAGCAAATTCTGTCTCCTTTCGGATGTGAGGCACATTCTTGGTCATGATTTCAGTGAAATTCACGAACTTACAAAAAAAGAGAGAGGGGAATCACATGAGAACAGATGTTTATAGCGAGAAGTATGTCGCAAATGATTGAGATAGTTGCTTGACACCAATGGAGATAATAATGAAACTAGCATTGTTGTTTACCTGGAAATTGTCAAAGCTGCGAGAAGGGATGTTATCATCAAATTCCTTCATTGTGTCCCAAGGCCCATCACCGACCCCAACTAATACAATAGAGAGTGGAAGCTTGCTGTAAAAAAGAAAATTCCACGTCAGTTTGAGACCGTAAAACATCTTTATATACTATGATAGATTGCAACAATCACCTTGCTTCGACAATGGCATCTACAGTTTTCTGTTCTTGTGGACTCAATCGACCACGTTCAGTATCCACACTTCTTGTTACCTACATAAATTAGCAAAAAATTGGAATTCGTACACAAGGTATAAGTTATTTAAGCATGTTTCCTTTATTAGTATTTTTATAGAAAGATGGCCGGTTAAAGGAAAATTAAAAATGGTTTTCAGCTACAACAATCTATCCAACTAAGAAACGTGGAAATCAAGAGTTAACCACAGATGTGAATCAATAAATCAAGAGGAACATTGTACAGTCAAACCAAACAACAAAAGAAGCAAATTTCATCTTATAGAAGCAAAACCTAATTTGATTAAGTTGGTGGATAGTAATTGCTAGCAATAATGGATTTTTTTTACTGGAATTGCATCATGGGAAAGACAAAGGATCTTTTACTGGAAAAGTGAAGTTTAGATTCATGGTATTATGCGCATCATTCATGTATGACTAGGATCAATTCTGTCAAACCTAATTGTTAGGACAAAGCATGAATGCAAGACACAGCAAGTTTGTCCGATAAGAAACAGGTCAAACACAGACCACATTTACCATGATTGCATTTCTGCATCTAAAGAAATTTCTTCTTGTGAAAGATTCACTTTCATAGAATCATGTCATCTCCCATATAATTAAAAGAATGTGGTCATGCATGCCAGTAGCCATTCAACAAGTACAAGTGCAAAGATATGTTCAGCGGTAAGAGGTTGAAGTTCAGTTTCACCATCTGATTTCTAACCCAAAAGGATTTTGTGACAACCTGTAAATTTTTTTAAGATAAGTACATATACTTCTTTAAGTTAAAACTGAACCACACAAAACAAAACCAGTATATCCCACCCAGAGGTTGAGTCGGGGGTAAGATGTAGGTAGACTTTTCCTCAACCTCAAGGGGTAGAGCAGCTGTTTCTAAAAACATCACCGGCTTGCAAAATAGATTCAAGAATCTTAGCAAGAAGCTAAAATTTAGCCAAAAAAGAATCAGATTTGGAAAGGGATACAAAGAGCCTGCAATGATCTGAAAAATATATACTTCTTTATGTTGATAAATTAATAATGACGAACTCCATTCAACAAAGTAGGCTAATCATGTTCATACAAATCTAATTAAGTTGGGATTGTTACCAGGACTATTAAGGATCGGATGATTGAGTATTCGTGTAAAAAAATTTGGAGCACCAGGATTCGTAAATGGGTACATGTCCGGAGACTGAAAGTCAACCAAACAACTAACAAGGGAAATCTATAATGGGTAAGAAGGCCGTCAACAAATTTTGTCTGCACAAATATGTTGTGCAGTCATTGATTCAGAGCTGGCCACATAAAAGCAAGAATTCTCAGAGTCAAACCAAAATTTCAGGAATCAGGAACAAAGACAACACTGTTGACCACAATAATGTAAAGGCTGCTAGTTGGCCAGCGGCATAGAGCTAAAAAAAGACACAAATGCTCAAAGTCAAATAGGTCAGCTTCTGTGAATGCAAATTTGTCTAGAAAGATGAGGCTGGAAAGGGAATTGATTTGTGTTACAATTGTTGCATCCTTCCCGGTCCTCTCGTACTAGGGAAAGGTCCTCTCAATGCTCTAACACCCACACCGGATATGGACCGAAATGTCTCACGACGTTCTGAACCCAGCTCACATACCGCTTTAATGGGTTATGGATGACATTCATATTTCTTTGCGCAAGGGTATGATCTACGAAGTCATGTATCAGGTTGCAGGAAGGAAGTGGGAACCCTCTCCATCCCATTTTGATGAGATAGTTATTAGTATTAATTCAAGCAACCGCCCTCATCTGAAAACTAAAAGTATAACATATAGAGGGAGTAGGTTGAGTTATTGCAAGTAATCTTAACAGTTTTTCCCATCCAAGCTTTGAATCTAAGTCCAAGCAGCCATCCTTGGCTTAACGTATTTGTCGTATTTGAACTACAATAAGTTCCTGTTCCCTTCCACTTTGAGCTTTATGTTCATTTCACTTCGCCGAACCAATGGAATGGATGTTCATTTATAATTGTTGACTTGATGAACTTTTAAATTGGAGGAGTTGTGATTCAGTAGCCTTCATGATAATATTGACCTAAAAATTCTTTCGGCGTGATAAATATTTGTTTTCATCTCCTATCTTTATTGCATGCACAATGAGAAGATATGATAAAGTATATGATTGGCTGCTTAAATGGTGTCAATGTTGATGATTGATTGACCTGTGTTCACCAACAGAGAACTACCGGTATACCAAGAATCCAAGATGGGCGGGGCCTTTAGAGATGGACAACTAACACGGCGCTCCTACATGGTAAGGTGAAGCCTTTTGAGTCGACAACAAATGGGATTTCAAGTGATTGTGCCCAAGCAAAAGAGAATAGCATCGAGTGGGTTCCGGAAGGACCAATATGATCTCATATAAAAAAGATTGATTTATGTTATGATTGTGTTATTGATAATATTCATACTTCTTTGTGCGTGGGTATGATCTCGGAGCTATGTGTCAACATCGTCATTTTTATGATACATCCTATTTTATTGGCTAATAGGTCGCGTTAATGGTCATCTTTCATATCAATATTGTCCCAACTCTTGCATAAATTGATTCCTGTCATTTGTGGATAATTTCTTGCTGAATGTTGTTACTCACCCTTACATTCTTCACACCCCAGCTTCAAGGAAACATCTATTGAAAGAGAAAAGGGATAGCGTATGCACAACTGAGACATGTTAAGATATCTTATGTATTAGCTACAGGATTGTACTCCTTAAGGATCTGTAACAAGTATTATGAATCTAATGCAATGATGTTATGCTATGCTTCCCAATGTGTAATGGTTGAGGTAACAGGTGTCAGGGGTGAAGGTGTCATAGGATTCATAATTTCATATGGACCAGGAGAAATATTACCTGCCCATCAGCGATGATAACCAACACATGATACTGTCCCCTGCTTTCTTCAACGATGGTCATAGCCTTTTCAATGACAGGAGCAAACGATGTCGGGCCTGTATGCGACATAACACATAAATATTCGCCCCGAAAAGAATATCGAAACAATCATGGAGCACAAAAGAACCACTGCTAAAGTTGAAATAGTAAGCAGGAGCAACCGAACAAAGAAAATGGTAGAGTAAGATTTCAAAACCTGCAAGATTTAGATGGGGTACAATCTCCCTGTACCTACTCAAGACTTCCTCAAATCCATTACAACACCTCTCTTCTGGATAAAAGCTGAAAACATCTTGATCATGTGTGGATGCTGCCATTTACAAAAAGATAAGATATTTCCAACAGATTTATTTTAGCATCATTATAAAGAATATACACTAGCTTACAGAACTATACCATCTCCAAATCCGTAACAGGGAATCAAGTTATCCTCATCAAAAGCTGTCAAAGTTTTCCCAATAATGGATATGGCCTGTTCATATGGATTCAAACCTTCTCCAATATGATGCAGACTTTTTCTGTGGAAGGACCTTGAACCTATTTACCAAAACCATGGTTAGCATGTTTCACCCCAGTAAAGAAATGCAAAAAGTACCAAGGATAATAATTTTACCTGTCCACTCATTGCTCTTTGTGAAGTCAATACCAAGAATGAGGTTAGAGGACTCAAGCCCTGCACGTGCTAGAGCCTCACTCACCTACACAGAAAAATAAATGAATCATTTAAACAATAATGGACTTTCTGAAAGAAAAAAATTACAGGCAAAGGAAGGAAATGGAATAAAAGCACAGATTTCCAAGTGCCCCAGCAGAAGTATAGAAGTATTTCCCACAAAGAGTTTATCACCATGGTATAATATGATTCGGCATGTAAGAATATGTCCAAAAATTCACAACATAAAATGTTTTCCGCTAAAAAGATTGGCATACACACATGATCCTACAATTACTGAAAAAGATGCCATTACCAACATGCTCAGAATTCCATAAGAAATTGTATGTGACGGTACCTGTTCCAATGAATTGTAACTATCAGCAATCGTTGAATATCTCCTGTCAAACTTATTCTGGGGTCTATGGGATGGAGGATAGGCTAGGGCTGGAGCTGGAGCGGGAGCCGGAGTTGCAGTTGGAATTGTTGCCGCAGGTGCAGGATAGTGTTCTTGTGGATATGCTGGATATGCCTCCTGAATGGGGTAATTATGGTCGTCTTGCGGTGGGTGTGAATAAGATGGTTGAGGGTAATTGTCGTACTGATTTCCAGAAAAAGACGAAGCTGGTCGATAGGATGCAGGATTATAACTCGCGTCCTCGTCCCTTGAAGTTTTGGCACCCATCCAATCGAACCAATTATCTACACAGTTGCAATCTAATCTTTTCAAGAACAACCTTCTTAAAGGCAAACGCTGATGGTTGAAACACAAATCAATCAAAACCCCCTGTATGTAGTAAAACTATATCAGAAAACAATTTCGACTTGGTAGAGAAATAACCTGTATAGCAAAGAAAAAACTAATCCCCGATTTAGTGCCCTACGAGATTAACACCAGTGTTTCCAGGAACCGAAGAAGGCGGTTAAAAGAGGAAGCTTCGCCGACGTTAGATGTATCCGCTAAGTAACTTTATCTTTACGTATTTCGTGTAGCAATACAAAACCTTTAAGATTCTAGAAGTAATAAATCAAATCTTATAGAGAAAGCTTGGTTTCCATACGAGTATGTCATCAACACACGGCACGGCACCGGCATGTTAAATGATTTGATATTTTGTTACTACAGTAACAAGAAGAGTAAATTAATGGTCAAAGTAGATGAGCGAAGTTCTGTCATGCAACAACAAAAACAGAGTCGGCGTGAATCTCGCACCGCCGCCTAGACCGGAACGGAGGCGGCGAGGCATAAATTCAACTCAGATTCAAAAATAAATTGATGTAATCAGTCATTAAGCCTAATTAGGATTTAGGACACGATATCAGATGAAGGAATGAATGAATCCAGGGGAATGATTCAAAGAGACAAACCTGATTAGATGTTGTGAAAGCATTATAATACGTGATTCACAGCGGATGTAGATTCAGCATCAATGGAGGATTCCGATTGAAACTTTTAGGATTAGGAAAGTTAAAAGTGTAGACGATTTCTTTGATTAAGATCTTGATCGAATCTTTTTAGTTTTGTTTAGGGATCAGTGGGATATTATTAGTCCAGTTAGGTCATCGGTGGAGCAGACGTGATTAAGAACGACACGTCAGCAAAGAGGAACATGCTTTCTCGTTTACCATAAGCAACAAAAGCATGTGCCAAATGTACATTATGATATTCGATCCTATCCCGGCCTATTTTGTATTTTCTTTTTAAAATTAAAAGTTGTTTGTTTACTTTTTAATAGTTTTATTAAAAGACAGTATCTAAATTGTTAAAATGTTAATCTTATTTGATAAAAAAAATATTGTCTTTTGATGGTTCTAAAATTTTCTGAATGATTTTATATCATTGGTCTTTCTTAACCATTTAACGTTCTAATTTCATAGTAAACAATTACCAAATAATTATATTTCATTTTGCATCATATCATGAGATTCTTTTAACTATTGTGACATTTAACATACTACACCAAAATATTTAGCAACTGTCAAACGACCTCTAAGATTTTCATATTCTTGTTTTTACTTTGTTTTCATTTCCGAGAATAAATCAATAAAAAATCTTTTATTTAATTTAAGAGTATTTTAATTTATTTTTTTGTCTATTAAATATTTTTTTTTTGATGTTTTAGTTTTTTTATTTTAATAAAACTATATATAAAAAGACAATACATGAAAATTTATATTGTTTTGTTACTGTGTATTATAAAATAATTAAATATTTTTCAAAACATTTTATATTTTTCATATTTTTTGTTATTATAATTTTAGTTTTTTATTAGTTTGATTCATGTAAACAAATCATTCAAGTACAAATCGTTAAGTACCCCTTATATGATAGTATTTTAATTTTTTTTCATCATTAGAGAACATAAGATGTTAAAACTATAATTACCAAAAATATATAGAAAGAACTAATTAGGGGCTGTTTGTTTCTCTCTTAATGGTGACATTAAGAGGGAACCTCTTAATCGGTCAGAGGTTTGTGCTGTTTGGCAACAAAAAAAGAGCCTCTTAATGGTTACACAAGGCTCTTAACCATTTTGCATCTCCTACCTCAATCAACCATTAAGAGGACAATTCTTCCCACTTTACCCTTTACATGCTCCCTTTACCAGATGCGTCTTCTTCACCCCACCCTCACTCGTCTCCTTCCCTCCCCACCCTCACTCGTCGCCGTTCTTCACAGCCCCTCCCTCACCCTGATTCTCGATGATTCATCACATATTGAAGCCATCGATGAGGGCAAAGAGGAACACATCGTCGTTCTGTTCGTTCTCCGGTCGCCTCGTCGCCTCGTCTCCGGTTGCCTCTTCGTCGCCGCCTCGTCGCCGCCTCGTCGCCGCTCGTCGCCGCTCGCCGTCGCCTCGTCGCCTTCCACAGCCTCACGTCGCAGCCTCGTCGCCTTCCACAGCCTCACGTCGCCGTCGCAGCCTCGTCGCCTTCCACAGCCTCACGTCGCCGTCGCATTTGGTTTAGGGTAGCATTTTTCTGTCTAGGGTTTGGTTTAGGGTAGCATTTTTCTGTCTAGGGTTTGGTTTAGGGTAGCATTTTTCTTTGAAAATTGATGGTGTTTATTGCTAACTTCATGTTTGTAACAATGTTAATGATGATTGGATTACCTATATTTTGCAATTTCTTGAGAATTTGTGATCTTGATATGAAGAACATGAAGAACAACATCTTTTTTTTCTAAAAAAAATGTTTAGAATTGATTGTATTTCTTGAGGGTTAAAATGGTAATTTTGCTGTCATTCAGAAAACAATTACCAAACAACTTTGTTTCATTCAGCACTTAACCATTCTGACCCTCTTAGCCATTCTAAYCTCTTAGCTATTCTGAACTAAATCATTCAGCAACTGCCAAACAGCTTATATTAAAAATATTTTAATATTTTATTAAAAACGATAAAAAATAATACAAATTTGTTATGTATTATTTCTATATAAAAAATATATAGTTTTATTAAATTATAAAAAAAAACTAAAATACCAAAAAGGAAACCAAAAACCATATTTAGCAAACCAAAAATAATCAAAAAGACTAAAATATCTTTAAGTTAATGGAGTATTTTTAATAACAATAAATTATAAATCATAGGGATTAAAATAACGATTCCAATACCACAGGGACGAAAATACTAATATTTCTCAAACCATAGGGAGAAAAATTGTAGTTTACTCTAAAAGAGTAAGAAAAATATAATACAAATCAAATCATGCGTTAAGAATGTAAAAGATAAGTCTTGACATTGATATGTATGGAAAAGAAATTGGTAAATAATGATCTATTTAACAATATATAAGGATATATTTAACCAACCCGGATATTTAACGGATGCATTTAAAAAAGATGTGGGTAAATGTCAAACATATGATAAATGTCAAACATATGATAAATGTCAGTTATATAAAATCTGATCAAAATTTATCAGTAAGTGACGTATATTCATTGTATCATTCGATTAAATATATTTTTTCTTAAAATAAAAAGTAATTTACAGTTCCAGTGTACTTTGAAAGCTATAAAACTTAATTACTGTAAAGAGATAAGAACCAGACGTCTTAGGGACCATTTACCAAAAACTTATCCGATAAATGCTTACCGATAAAATTCAACACTAATACTTACTTGCTGGGTAAGATTTTAATCCACCAAAACGACATCGTGTGCAAGAATTTACCCGATAAACTCTTACCATGGTAAGAGAAGTCGCATTCACTTACCGGATAAGACTCTTGGTCCTTGTCTGGCTCATAGAGTAAAATTCTTGGTCCTTGTCATGTTCATCGAGTAAGCTAATGTAACTTGTTAAGCGTCTGGTAAACTCAAAAACACATTACACTCGTTCTATTTTAATTTTGAATTTTCTTAAATAAAAAGTAATTTAGAGTTCAAGTGTATTTTGTAAGCTATGAAACTTAATTAAAATTTAATTTTGAATAAAATTAAAATTTAATTGTAGTTCAAGTGTATTTTGCCACAAACAAACGCATTTCTTCCTGTAACAAATTTGACCAATTGGCTTACAAACAATCAAATTCATCGAGGAAAATATCAAGAAAAAGTTCAAGAAAACAACCAAAATCCAGACTCCCGAGTCCGAGTCTCGTCCTGTGGGCTACATATTCATAGAGGTGCAACTTCGACGATGACTAATGCTTCAATAAATACCTCATACGTATATCATGTAGATTGGATCTTTTTCTTCTTCTTTGAAGCAACATCACTTGGTTCGATTTCTATTGACATCCTCTTTGTCCTAATCAAGAGATCACACTTCATGTCAGAAAGAAGAGGGTCAAAAGTTACCAACAACAGCCAAAAGAAAACAAACATATACCTCTTTGAAAGCTCCTGTGTTTCATTGTTACTTTCTTTGCCCATAGCATCTGAAAATAAGTACCAAAATGTATTCAGATTGCTTTCAAAAAGAATTTTATGGATAACGTGAAATGATGGTTCATAATGCACGGCTTCATTTCAACACTTATGCCATCAAAACGTGCTTACTGATATGCTTATTGGATCATACATACCTGCTCCATTTGCATCATCATTTTCTGAATCCAACTCTTCATCATCTTCTGGTTCCACATCTGATTCCAAATCAGAACCCCAACGATCTTTCCCATCATCAAAATCCCAACGATCTCCCACCGGAGGCATCCAGAACTCGTCTTCCTCTGTGTCACTGTCTTTTTCTTCTGGATCCCTGACTTCAGATATGATCTTACTAACATCATTCTCCTCCTTTTTCTTCTTATTCTTCTTAGTCTTCTTCAAACCATCTCCTTTGCTCTTTGAAGCCTTTTCTGGTTTCTGCTTGCCTTCATCTTCTACCAAACCAACTCCTTTGCTTTTTGAAGCCTTTTTTGGTTTCTGTTCGCTTTCAACTATTATCAAATCATCTGATGCTTCTTTTCCAGCTTCAGCTTCCTCTTTCTCTGTTTAACATTGACCATACTTCACATCAGACATATACTTATTTCCCTATTAGAATCATAACTCTCGATTCTGGTTTCTAAACAACAAATCCAAATGTGACTTTTAAGTTTATAAACGACAACTTTTTAACTTCAAATTTGAGAACTGCATTGCTAGTCCACATAAATTGCTTGATAACTATGTTAACCTATAAACGAATGTTGCAATAAAATTTAAGAAGAATTGAAATGCTATTCGATTCTTCATTTTGTGCCTAACTATCAAGAATCACTTCAAACTCCCACACCCACGGGGATTTCAAGGAGGGGTAATTAGCCAAACAATCCCCCAAATTCCTCAAACCCTGCCTCATAAGATGTACTGCTCCTCATAGGGCATGTGACCAAGATCCTTGATTATAGCATCTAATTGGCTCAAATAGCCCAAACCCAAGACTTCACTCAAGAAGTGTCTAATGGAGAACTTAAAGCATACATATAGCAACCGGTCTATCAGTTGAATCACCTTCTCACCATTTTCTTTTAAATCCAAAACTTTCTGACCAGTTTGGGAATGTCACTAAACTTGTCAGCAGGTTATGTTATTTAAGGTTATCGAGCAAAATAGTCTATAGCAACCTATGGTGCCTTCAGTAGTTATCACACCGAGGACCAGTCAAGGGAATCACAGACTCTAATTGCCGAAATGAGATGTAATTGTGGAATCCAATTATATTACTCTCCAAAATAGCAAGGTGAATGGGTCCGAGTCTAGCTGAAGTGGGAGTCTTTTAACATAAATCAAAGAACAAACAACAAAACAGACAATAATGGTCATTCAAGAAAGAAATTCAAGAGAACGTTCTAGAATCAAGCAGAACACAAACCTAACATGTTCAGGAAACGCTTTCCATTGACATGCTTCCATATATGCTCCTCAATTTTATTCACAGTAAGCCCTGTCAGCTTGCAAATTAACCTAGAACTGTCGTAAATCAAAAAAGAACATGATCAGCAAAGAAATACAATAAATCAGTTCTACCAATCATGTTCATTGAGTAAACCCTAAACCCTAGTTTAATGAAAAATACGGGATTCAATTGGGGGAGTAAGAATACCGGGAAAGAGGGTCTTGGTGGAACATATTGAGAGGAGGCTTATTGCGAGCCAAGGCGGAATCGATGAGTCCGAGCCGGCAATGCTTGGTGTGTGCGTATGACTCCCTAGCATCGGCCGGCAATTCGTGGCCGGTTTCGACGCATTTGTAGCGGCCGTTTTCGAGCTTTTTGAACTTGGGTTTGCCAAGCAAGAATTTTCCTTCAATCTCTGCCTCCTGTTGTTCTTCCTTTTGTGGTGGTTGCTTACTTTCAGTTTTCTTCTTCCCCATTAATCTATCTGCGAAGCTCACTTCTCAATTCCTACACACAGTGTCGTTGTTTGCAGAGGAGACGCGGTGTCTTCTAGGGCATACGAGTTTAGAGTTAATACGACGTCATATTGATTTCTAGTTATATAATGAATATTTCAAAAACCCAATTAACTTTTCCATTTTAAACTATTTTATTAAATGAAAAATTATTAAACTTTTTGATAAAGTTTTTAAATATTTTATTGAATAAATAAGTTGAACGATCACCGATATTTTATAACCCAAAAAATATATATATAATTGATTAATTAATGTTTTAAAATAAAAAAAAAACATAAATCAGTTTTACTGTTCTTAAACCTTACGTCATTCAAACTCATCACAGACATCGACATTGCTCCCCCCCCTCTCGTCGTCCCATCGTTGTTTGTTCTCTATACAGTCCATTGATCAATCTCCCTCTTTTGACCAGTTATTTTCCCTTTCAATTCTCTCTCTTTTACAACAACTTAGTGAAGCACATATTCAAAAAAGATGGAGAATCCGAAGAAAAAAAATGAGATCAGTAGCAGGGGACAACAATGGCGATGGGCAATGATATATAACAGAGACGATGAGGCAACGAACAGTTTGAATGATGTAAGGTTGGGAACGGTAAAACCATATTTTTTTTAGTTTAAAACCTTCCTACTTGGCTTCAATTGTCTTTTTTGGATTAAAATGGTGTAAATAACCATTTTCAAAAGGTCGATAGTCTATTTATTCAAAAAAAATCAGGAACTTAATCATTCAAAATAAAAAAATTAATAATTTTTTATTTAAAAAATAATTTATGGACTAAATTATTTAAAATAAGAAAGTTAGATAATTTTTTTCATGGTTACCTTTGAATAAAGCCAAAACATATTAGATGAAAGCAATCATAAAATATAAGTTATAAAATTTATTAGAATTTTAAGGTATTTACATAATCCAATTTAATGTTTGTGAATTGTGATTTGAAAATGTCATAATTAGGTTGAATTATTTTTGAAAATTAAAAAAAAATCTTAGTGTTGATGTGTATCAAAACAATATTGGTATGTAGGGGTGTGTTTAACCTGGCACTTGAAATTTTATAGCCCAACCCAAATTGTGTAGGTTATGTTGAATTTAGCCAGGGGTGCTAAAAAAACCGACCGACCAACCCAAAGAAATCCAAAAAGACCTAACCTGAGGCAACTTGAAGCATGATCGATAAAAAAAATTAGTCAAACCGCCTCTATAACTCGTGCCTTTTATACCCCTGTTTGATTATATTCATCTCACTTAGCGCGCAAACTCATAGAGTCTTGATTCATGTATAGGGTTTCCATTCACGCTTTCTTCAGACTTCAGATATCATTTTTTATCTTTATTTTTCTTCTTTTTGATTCATAATTAGGGTTCCGATTTTGTCCAGGTTTTGATTTTGTTCATGTATCGATTAATGCTTAGGGTATTGATTTTGTTCAAGCTTTGATTTCTTCTTTTCTTCTTCATGTTTCGATTTTGTTTATGTATTGATTATCTTCATACTTCCTACACAACTTACATGCCAGTTGCCAACACATATCAATTTCTACATAAACTCACTTACATTGATTGCCAAAAGTCTGTTTACTATTTAGGAAACATCATTTACTGCTTTTGTATTGACAACATGTATCAATTTTCTACAACTGCTTCCGGGTTTCGTTCAACACATGTATTGAGTTATATATACCGTTTACTGTTATTATTTGGTTATACATAAAAGTTCTACACGGTACTTACATTGATTTTATGTATTGTTATTGTGTAGTGTTTATGTATTGAGTTTTGTCAAATCTCAACTACTTTAATTAGTTGAGTTTTTGTGTTTCCAATTATGATTTTACTTTGTAAAAACACAACCCGACCAACCCCAGCGGTTTGGGTTGGGTTGAAAACTTTTAAACTGCCAATATTGGGTGAAGATTTTAAAATGTCTTCAACCCGATCAATCCAACCCATTAACACCACTAGTTAGATTGGTCTTATTGAAACTTTGTTATATAATTTTACAGAATACAAACAAACTAGGAAACCATGACCAATTATTTAAATTTATTCTTTATGAGTTAATCAACAATTGTTACAATATTACATAAAATAGTTTAAACGGAAAAAAATGACGTAAGTTTAAGCCAATTAGTCATCAGCAATCGTAAAATCAAATCAAGAGGAAAAAAAAACACAAACTTCTATGAAAACTCAGGACTTGAGGCTACAAGATGTATTCATACAAATTTAAACAAAAAACTTTCGTAACTGTAAAAAAATCTAATAAGGTATATGAGTTCAGTTGGCTGTTAGTTTGAAACTAAATATCAAATACTTAAAATTCACATGTACTAAATATCTGTATCATGACATAAAAAGTACCAACTCTTTGCATCATTTGTAGTGTCATGCCATCTACACACGTCTCCATACACGATCACACATATGATAACCCTACAGTTATATTTCACGCGTAACATATTTCATACCAACACACAGTATGTTTAAAGCTTTAAAACGTTACATATATCATTAGCATAAAAATAACCAAAATGTTTAAAAGCAACATATGAAAATTTTGCTTAAAGTAATATCTACAAATATTATAACGTACATACTAAGTGTCCATACATGCCAATTAATGTTAACGACAACTTATGTGCATTAATGAACAAACCACTTTATGTTGCACCCAACAAAGGTGTTGGTGCATTTGTTGCTACCACAGTGTACGTGTGTTGTATTATTTATCGAGTTCAATGAATTGACAAAACGTCTGTTGTACAAGAGAGTTATTTTAGTGTTGTGATTTTAAATTATAGAAACTCACACGGTCACACCTCAACTGCATAATTTGGAAGTCTGGAGTCTAACCTCGAAATTATACCAACGGACAAGGTATTAGAATATCGTCAACAACTATGTAATTTTAGAAATTTTAGATATTTAAGAAAAGTTTGCTACAATCTATACTGTATTATAAAGCATTTGACAAAATCTCTTAAAAACCACTTTTTATGTATAAAATACTGTTTATTAATGCATGTTACTTAAAACTCAAGATTACAAGTAGATTGTGAGTAAGTACAACTTATTAAAGCTCCATATTTGAAATCGTGTAACTAACTGCAGATAAACATGATTAAATACATGATAAACATTTTATTTTAAATATAAAAAATCTAAAATATAATTAGGATAATCATTGAGTTATAACAGAATACTTAATTATTATTTTTATAAAATGTTATATTATTAAACAAAAAAAAAACTATTTCGTTATTGAACTTAAATTAAATTAAATTAAAAAATAAATTAAAAAAATTACATAAAAAATGAGAACTTTTAAATAGTTTATTTGATATTAACATTGATATATTTTTTTAAATTTTTATGACATCTTTAAATTTATATTTTATTCAAAAATAAAATCATCATTGCTTTTTAAAAAATACATAAAATTGTATTATAACATCGACAAAAATAAATAATAAAATAAAACATTAAAATCGAGATGTGTCTCGCTACATTATACGAATATTCATCCATTAACTATAAATACTACTATTTATATGTTTTAACGTAACCTATAAAAAAACCTTTTTGCCTGGACTTATCTCATGTACCAAAGCACGTTCTATTGGTGCGTTGGGCCCGTGTCAATGAATACTAGGTGGCCTCATGAGTCCTTTCAGACCCATTGCTATAGGGAGGCTAATTGCACCCCTATACATTGTCATTGGCATCCCTAAGTAGGTTTGAATCATATTTTTTTATAGTTTTTTGTATTTTTTGTCCTTTTGTTATTATTATTTTTTATTTTATTATTATTTAAAAAAAATTAATTAATATATATTATTTATTTTATTTTATTTTTTTATTTATTTATATTATATTTTAATTAATAGA